TTTTTTTATCAAAAAGACTAAAAACTATAGTTTTACTATTTTACACTTATATCAAGGTTAACACGGAAATTCTAATATGACTATTAAAAAGTCAAATACAATGTAATATTCAAGTGTGTAAATGTAATAATTGTTACATAATATAAATGTATAAATGCAATAGTATATAATTTAAATATAAAATGTAATAATTTTGGAAAAGCATAGAGTGATGAACTCCCACTAAGTAATGTTCATTTCTTTCTCTAATAGACAAAAGCAATAATTAACCCAATATGCCCTGCTACCATTTTGAATTGTACAAGCTTCCATAAAATGTTTGGTGATTATATTACTAAATTTCACTAGTGAATGGAGTGTCCATGTTCTCCTGTGACCCTTTTACCAAGAATGCTGCCTGTGGTCCAGGGGTAAAGAAAGGGACCAGGATGATATGATGATCTGTTATAGTACTTAATTTTTAAAAAATACAATTATGTTTTGAGTTGAAATAGCTAAGATGTTATTTCAGATTTGAAAAGCTCCTTACTTAAATGTCTATATACTTATGTGCCCTGAATGACCTTTATTTGCATCTGAAAATTAGCTATAAATTAGTGATGATACTCACTAAAATGTGAGAGGAGGAAGCTGGAGACTTCTAGCTGAGAGATTACTCCAGGGGAAGATTAATTTTCTGGGTTGCTTTCACCAGAGTCTAAAATAGTGCTTCCCAACCTTGGCACTATTGACATTTGGGACCAGATAATTCTTTGTCATGGAGGGCTGTCCTGTACAATATCGGACGTTTAGTGCATCTCTGGATGCCAGAAGTACCCTTCTGGCTGTGATAACCAAAGTGTCTCCAGATATTGCTAAATGTCTTGGTGGGCGTGGTGGAGGGGGTGGAATCATCTCTAGTTGAAAACCTTTGTTGGAATGTGGTCCTCAGCTTTGCAAGTTCAGAACCTGCATTTTACTGGTGCAGTCAGAGAAAACTGTTTTCCTGGAATTAAATTTGCAGGAGACTGATACTTGATCCAGAATTCCATTTCATTAATGTCTAGAGGGAAATAGTCCTATTAGTCAATCCATGCTCATCACTACTGCAGGAGGCTGACCTCCACCACTACCCTCCCCCCTGGTGTGGTGTCAAGATTATTGAAGATCAAGTGGGTGATAAACCTGGAACTCAAAGAGTACACAACTCCTTGAGAGATGTTTTATTCATACCATTATGGTGTCTGATGAAATTCCTACACCCCAAACCTGAAGAAATAATAATTATGATAGTGTCCATTCATGCTGGATTTTGGACCCCAACTCGCGTTGTAAATATCATGGTTCTACCACTGTGAGACAAGCAAATTAACCAAACTCTGTGCCTCAATGACCTCATCAGTAAGATAACAATAATATTAGTACCTCAACTAAGAGGGNTCTGTGCCTCAATGACCTCATCAGTAAGATAACAATAATATTAGTACCTCAACTAAGAGGGATAAAGATTAGTTACTATATGCAAAATGATCATAAGTTAATTAGCACAGAGTTCTTACCAAATGTGTGTGTGTGTTACTACTAATTTTTTAGAAGAATAAAATATTTTATTGCTAAACAAACATACAACAGATTGTGGGGGAGCATATATGCTTGTGATAAAGATTAATAACCTCATGTAACCACTAAGGTCAACAACTGAAACTTTACTAGACATCAGAAACCCCCTCTCTGCCTGTCCACGATCCATTTCCCACACTACATGTCTCTCTCCCATAAATGAAGTACCCCTTCCTTATTTTAATGCCATTCTTTTAAAGCTAAAAGTAGAATAATATTGATTCTCAATTTATAGTTGGCAAAAACAAATGAGCAACAAATATATGCCCTCTAGAGTGATTGCACTAGAGAGGCATTTTACGTTCAAGATATTGATTTTAATCTGAGTAATTGATTGTGAATTGGAGTTAAACACCCTTTTTCATCACATTTATGCCTGCATACTGATAATAATTAAAAAATCACTATATTTATAGTAAACACACCCACACATGCACCCTCCACCCATACATGTAATGCATGCATTTATGTGTGCAAACACACACACTATAGTTTTAGCAGCATACTAAAGTGTTTTGGTTGTTGCTTGTAATTGGGCATAATCAGAATTTCCTTCAACACTCCATGGGTTGTATGTCTTTTTATGTCTACACTCCTTAATACTTGAATTACAACTAGATTGGCTGGTGTAAGTACTTAAGCCAATCAATAAACATGCAGGAACTGTCTGTTTTAAGAGTTAGCTAAAGAATTTAAGGTGTAAAAAAGGAAAGAGTGGACTTTAAATAAAAATGAGACAGTTTTAATGCTACCTTAGGCAAATTCATGTGAAAGCCATTTGAAGAATTATGTTCAGGGAATGAGCTTCATAAAATTTCAGGGGAATCTAGATGATTGTTGGATTAATTTGATTTAAATTAAATTGTTTATTGTCAATTAAAATATTTGGGACAATATCTCTGAATGATTTTTAATTACTAATATATGTTAAATACTAAATATGAGATAAATATTTTTCTCAGAGCAAAAATGAGAACAACTTAATAATTGCATAGGATAATAGACAAATACCTTCAAGATTACATAAATGAAGAATTAACTGAATAAATTAAGCATAAATGAATATCATGGCAAACATGAGACTATTATTGTATTTTCTTCTTATAGTTATTTTTAATGTCGATGGTAATATATGTGATACACATAAAAAGACAGATGATACATATGTATATACTTTAACACATATCCTTATATACATATTGATATATACAAATATGTATGTGTATATGTGTATATATACATTTATATATGAAGCATCATAATAAAATGGAAACCGGTCAATGTGCCACCTACATCAAGAATTAGAATATTGCCAATTTCATGACA